CCTCAAATCACGTTCCAACCTGAGTCGCTAGCTGCCCACGTTTTGTTGTAACCCGAGATAAATTCTCAGAACACATAGTTATACAAAACGATAATAGCGTGCTTATTGTTAGAGTTCCGTAACGGACGCGGAACGCTTGAATATTTTCAAAACTAGCCCCGAGTAGAAGTAGTTTAGGATGTTGCAGTGGGTCAATTCCTCATTTCCCTCTCGCAAATAGAAAACATGATTCACGAAACATTTTAATTGCTCCTAAAACTATTTTCAGAATCCAGCGAATTGTTTGATTAATTTCAAAGTAGATTTATATCGATTCAACTCATATGGAGATGAGGATTGAGACAGCCGGAAGAGGCCACCCCCGCGATTTCCTTAACCTGCTCGACGCACCACTCCATGTCCTTTTTTTATAATCAGTATTATATCGTGTGCGAATACCCGTGGGATGCGAGATGGGCCGCCCACGGTGGATATCCCCGGAGAGAGCAATTACCCATGTTAATCCGCATTTAATCTACTAATCTGTTACATCAGAGTCTCCCTAACTTCTTGGACATTAAGGAAGCTCCGCCCCCTCGACCCCCTCCGCACCCTCTCGCGTGCCCACGTGACAGAGATGCGCATGCGCATTAACGCTCTGTTGGTCACGCTATGAGCGCCGCGCCTCACTTTTTCCGATTTTTTAAATCCCAACTGCAGTAAAGCCTCAAAAAAATTTGATATCTCATTTTGAAGTGTCTAGAAGCCCTATCAATGAAAATATCCACCAAAAATATGATAAATAGTTAGATTTTCAAATTTTAATTCCAAAACTCCGGGCCGTGTCCCACTGAACATAGTAAATCTCATGGATTTCTTCAAGTATACGATCTAGATAACTCTGGATTTTTTCAGATTTTCCCTAGATCTTTCAAATTTATCATTGTGTCGATTAACGCTGGTGCGGCGTGGCCAACGGCGTTTGTAACTTTTACACGACTAACAGAGTGTTAAGGTATTTATGGCGTGGTCAAGAGGGTCGAAAAAAAGTCAAGAAATTGATGATATTTTTTTATACATTCTTTGATTGTTTCAAAACTTCGATGCAAAATCCCAGATAGCCTAGGAGAATGGGTGAAGCATAGAAATTTTTCTGAAAAATGCATTTTAACACGGGCTCTTATGGGAGTTCGGAATAAAATATTAAATTTTTTTAAAAAGTCACCATTTTCCGTAAATTTTGCATTTGGGTGGAGCTGTCAAGGAGGATCATAAAAAAAAATAATCCAAGTGGCCTAGGAGAATTGTTTAGAAGGGATAATTAAAAAGCTCATGAAAAACAGGAATTCTGCGTGCGCAACTTGGAATAACGTAAGCGCGGCAAATACAAATGGAGTTGTGATGATACACTTCGCTATGGGAAGGAACATAACAGCTGAGTGAATCAGTGCTGCCAACTTGTACTTCGAATGTCACGACGTCTCTCTTTCATTCCATATTAATTATTTTCCAATTATCCAAAGGACAAGCTAGAAAAATAAAAGAAGGCTTGAAATATGCGGGAAAAAATAGAAAAGCTATTAAAAAACTTTTCGAACACAAAAGTGGTTGAACCAGATTGAAAATCTGTAATTGAAAGGTCGTTTTTTTTTGTTCAGCGATTGGTGTTCTGTGAGAGAACAATAGATTCCCCGCCGTCTCAACTCCTACAGTAGAACTGGCGGAAGAGTTCCACCGGGAATTATAGATTATGCATTAAACTCCCATTCCCTCAGCACTCATACATGCCCACCCCGCCATGAATACTTTGAATGGCCATGAGTTCCAGCCTCATATTCCCAAAAAAAACTAATTCATCAATTCAATTTCCAGTGACGGGTATCACGTGTTACTGCGACGGCCACTGCCCCGATGATCGTCAGAATGGTACGTGCGAGGGTCGCCCGGGCGGTCACTGTTTCTCCGCCGTCGAGGAAGTATGGGATCGTGATCTTGAGGAATGGGTTCCCGAGTTTTCATTCGGCTGTCTGCCCCCCGATGAACAAGGTTTCATGCAGTGCAAGGGCAACCTAGTGCCCCACCTCAGATCGAAGACGATCATCTGCTGTAACAACACGAATTTATGCAACAAGGACATTTTCCCGGAATACACGCAGCGCCCCACGCCGGCACCAGACCCAATCACTCTGGCGTCAGGTGCACCGCTGATCGTCCTGGCGGCCTGTCTCTCCATCTGCCTCATCGTATTCTGCATCGCCATGATCATCATCTACAGGAGATACCGGAGGAAAGAGCGTGGACCTTGTCTGGTTCCGTCATCAGGAACTCTGAAAGACCTGATTGACCAGAGCAGTGGATCAGGATCCGGTCTTCCTCTCTTAGTCCAGAGAACAATAGCCAAACAGCTTGCACTGTCCCAGTGCGTGGGTAAGGGTCGCTACGGGGAGGTGTGGCTGGCCAGGTGGAGGGGTGAGAAGGTAGCAGTGAAGGTCTTCTTCACCCTCGAGGAGGCCTCGTGGTTCAGGGAGACTGAAATCTACCAGACTGTTCTCATGAGACACGACAATATCCTCGGGTTCATTGCTGCTGATATCAAGGGGACTGGATCCTGGACACAGATGCTGTTGATCACGGATTATCATGAGAGGGGCTCACTGCATGACTATCTTCAGACAACTGTGCTGGATCAACCGAGTTTGCTGGCGATATGCTTGAGCATTGCGAGTGGAATTGCTCATCTTCACACAGAGATATTTGGTACGAGGGGAAAGCCTGCTATTGCTCACAGGGATATCAAGAGCAGGAATATCCTGGTCAAGAGGAATGGAGAGTGCGCTATTGCGGACTTTGGTCTTGCCGTTAGATTTATAAGGTGAGGATTTGTTTGACGAGTTTTTATAAATGTTTATAATTTTATTTATTTATTTATCTATCTGTTTATCCTTGCCATATATACTCCATTCGAGTTTTTACGTATTTACGGTTCCATGGGCCGTTTTTCTCGCCAACCGTGTCGCATTGTGCCCCAGGAGCTATACCCCGCGTACAGACTCTCCTGGTGACCAAGGGAAACCATGGAAAACCTTGGTCGACACCGGCGTCTGTCGATCGAGCTTCGTCGGAGAATGTGTTCCGATCACTTCTCCGATGATTCTCGGTGTTTGGTCTTCCGTTCGGCGGTTTCCAAAAGATTAAAAAATCCCAATTACCCCACGCAGGACTCGAACCCGCGCCTTAACGAACGATTTAACCACTTCGGCCACCATCGCCGGTGAATTAGCAATTTGCCTCCGAGTGGCTTCTCTTTTTTGCCATTCTTATTTTACTATTCTCTTCTTCTATTTTTTCGTGTCATGGTACTATCAACAATTGAATTGTCATCAAAATTTTGCGTATTCTTTCGTTCTGCAAAGAATTCTACATTGAGAACCTCTCAAGACTCGAATTCGTTTTCAGTCCGGGTTTAATCAAGGTTCAATTAAGGTTTAATCAGTGTGTAACCGGGATTTAACCATGGTTTATTGAGGATTTAGCCAGAGTTTTTTGTAAAAATTTCAATTTCTTCGAATGAAAAATTAAATTTTGATTTTAAATTCAGTAGCTAAGCGATAAACCGGTTTAAGTCGATTTACACTATTGGCCAGTTTTTAATGAATATCTCGGAACCTAAGGAACATAGAAATTTTTTTGTAATAAACTTTTTTGTAGCTCTCGATTCGCTCTATAAAAAAGATTATAATGAAAATTTCGCTATTTCTCTTGAATTCGGAGATATTCCTCGAAAACTCAGCGAAGAGCTAAGTCGACTCAACCCGGTTTAACGCTTCGCTATTGAATTGAGACTTTTTGGAAAATAAAGACGATTGTTTTTTTAATCGTTTTCAGTGAAAGTGGAGAGATAGATATTGCCCCCAACACGAGAGTTGGCACGAGACGATATATGGCGCCTGAGGTGCTCGACGAGAGCCTGAATACAACGTCATTTGATGCCTTCAAAATGGCAGACATGTATTCAGTGGGTTTGGTCCTCTGGGAGATATGCAGGAGATGTGTCACTGGTGGACGAGTGTCCACCGCTGAGCCCTACGCCTTGCCCTACCACGACGTGGTACCCAGTGATCCTGATTTCGAGGACATGAGACTGGCTGTGTGTGTCAAGAGGTTACGACCTGTTGTGCCCACCAGATGGGAAAATGATCCGGTAAGTGTCAATCAATTTGTGAAGTCGATTTTTCACATCTCCATAAATATGAGGATATCTCGGGAACGAGTGAATTTAAAGGAAAATTCCATACGACATTTTTTGCAGAGAATTGAATTTCCCACAAAAAATCTTTTCTGACATTTTCTCTTGGAACCAATCATTCTCGAGATAAATGGCATTGAAAAGATTTGAAGCTCATGTTCTGTTGTTTTTCCCTTTCAGATTCTCTCCGCACTGAGCAAAATAATGACAGAATGCTGGCATGGTAATCCAGCAGTTCGTCTGACAGCCCTCCGAGTGAAAAAGTCAATGTCAAAGCTCCACATTGACAATGCCATTAAAATAGTTTAGTCTCCCTCAGCAGAAGAAAAATCCATCAATTATCATTAATTCTTACTACTGTACATAATTTCCGAGAGATAATTTTTTCGGTCTGTTGAATACCCCCACCCCATGTAAATAGTCCCTCCTCAATTTCCCCGGTGTACATAGGGTCAATAACAGACTGCAGCCAGAAGAAGACTGAAGATTTACGAGAAAAAAATGATAATAAAGCGAAAAAAATAGGAATGCGTGATCTGAGATGTTGGGTGTGATGATAAGACGATTAATATCATGAAATTGTTCTTTTCTAATTGGAGGAGACGATTGTAAATAAATGAATCAGTGGGCGAGTGGTAAAAGACGAAATTTTTCTAATTCTCAATTTTTTTTTCCATTTTTACCACTCGATTGCTGAATTAAATTTGTAATTGAAAATTTATCGTTTATTTTCTCAGTTTTGGTACCGAGAAAGTAATAGTTTGGCATATCTGTAAATGAACAATAAGAAATGACACGAAAATAGAACAATTTTGTTTAATTGTTACGAAAAATTTACGATTGATTGAATATACGGTTAGTTTTAGTTTCGAGTGGATCAATGCCAATTTTCCAATAATTGGCTGTTGTTAATTATGTTGATAATTTTCATCTTTCTTAAAAAAGAAGAAAGCTGTTTTTTTTTGTATTTATAGATATAGGAAAAATTGATTATGATGAATTGATGAGATTGACACGCAGAATAGTTGAAAAATGCAACTGAAATATCGACAAATCAATGAATGATGGATACTTTGAACCGAGAGTAATCAAATTTATATTTTTAATGAGTATTAAATGATATAAATTTTTTCAAACGTTGGGTCTGCTCATTTCAATCCCCAAAATGATCATTAATTATTAAACATGCATTCATGACATGACTTACCCCTTGCATCTTCTGGACGATATCGTCCTGAGTTACTCCAGACGATTGCAATCTCGTTTTCATCACTTGGCACTTCACATAACTAAGTCATTGAAGCACTCAATTTTAATTTTAAGACGTGATTTTTGTGATTTTAATCATTACAACACTGATTCAATTGTCTCGACAACGAAAGAGATGAAGAGAAAATGTCAAGACATTTTTTGTAGAAAATTAAAGCTCCGACAAAACGACATCTTCTAATGAAACAAAGGTGTTTCAATTTGTATCATTAGGCCCGAAAAAACCGCGATTCTAACCTCGCTTCGCTCGGTTCAATGAACCCTTTCCGAACATAAATGCACTTCTAACTACAATTCTTCGTAAATGAACAGGCCATCTGACTCTCGCACAGGCTCAAAACGGTCAACAACTCGAATCTAGGGTTAAACACGTTTCTCAGCCATTGCACCTTTCCCACGACAGGATTTTCATAAATCGCAGATGTTCACTTGACGCTATTTATCCTCCACTGATCAACAACGTATTGTCACACTCAACTTTACACTTTTCGAGAATTTTTAATAGTAATAAAAGCAACCGGCGTCCGTCCTCGTCAGACTCGCGTGACTCCGCCATCTTGACTAGCTCGAACAAAGCATGCTGCGCGCGCACCTCGCGTACCTCTCTTCCCGCTTTGTGAATTTATTTATTTTCAATCATCTCGAAATGAGAATTAATTAACAATTTGGAAAGGTTTACCTGACTTTAAACATAATTTGAGATGAATTATGGAATAAAAAAATTAAAATATTTTATTAACTGTCCCGGTTGAGGTTGAAATTTCGTAAATTCGGGGTTTTTAGGGTTTGGCGTGACTTCACGATCGTTTCAATTTTTTTTAACACGTGCTGGGGTGGAGTGAGGTTGACGTTTTTATTGGCATGTTCATAGCCTCGAAATTAGATATTCTCCATCTATTAAAAACGTATTGTCACTCTCAACTTCACACTGTTCGAGGAATTTTAATAGTAATAAAAGTAACCGGCGTCTGTCCCCGTCTGACTCGCGTGACTCCGCCATCTTGACTAGCTCGAACAGAGAATGCTGCGCGCGCACCTCGCGTACCTCTCTTCCCGCTTTGTGAATTTATTTATTTTCAATCATCTCGAAATGAGAATTAATTAACAATTTGGAAAGGTTTACCTGACTTTAAACATAATTTGAGATGAATTATGGAATAAAAAAATTAAAATATTTTATTAACTGTCCCGGTTGAGGTTGAAATTTCGTAAATTCGGGGTTTTTAGGGTTTGGCGTGACTTCACGATCGTTTCAATTTTTTTTAACACGTGCTGGGGTGGAGTGAGGTTGACGTTTTTATTGGCATGTTCATAGCCTCGAAATTAGATATTCTCCATCTATTAAAAACGTATTGTCACTCTCAACTTCACACTGTTCGAGGAATTTTAATAGTAATAAAAGTAACCGGCGTCTGTCCCCGTCTGACTCGCGTGACTCCGCCATCTTGACTAGCTCGAACAGAGAATGCTGCGCGCGCACCTCGCGTACCTCTCTTCCCGCTTTGTGAATTTATTTATTTTCAATCATCTCGAAATGAGAATTAATTAACAATTTGGAAAGGTTTACCTGACTTTAAACATAATTTGAGATGAATTATGGAATAAAAAAATTAAAATATTTTATTAACTGTCCCGGTTGAGGTTGAAATTTCGTAAATTCGGGGTTTTTAGGGTTTGGCGTGACTTCACGATCGTTTCAATTTTTTTTAACACGTGCTGGGGTGGAGTGAGATTGAAGTTTTTATTGGCATGTTCATAGCCTCGAAATTAGATATTCTCCATCTATTAAAAACGTATTGTCACTCTCAACTTCACACTGTTCGAGGAATTTTAATAGTAATAAAAGTAACCGGCGTCTGTCCCCGTCTGACTCGCGTGACTCCGCCATCTTGACTAGCTCGAACAGAGAATGCTGCGCGCGCACCTCGCGTACCTCTCTTCCCGCTTTGTGAATTTATTTATTTTCAATCATCTCGAAATGAGAATTAATTAACAATTTGGAAAGGTTTACCTGACTTTAAACATAATTTGAGATGAATTATGGAATAAAAAAATTAAAATATTTTATTAACTGTCCCGGTTGAGGTTGAAATTTCGTAAATTCGGGGTTTTTAGGATTTGGCGTGACTTCACGATCGTTTCAATTTTTTTTAACACGTGCTGGGGTGGAGTGAGATTGAAGTTTTTATTGGCATGTTCATAGCCTCGAAATTAGATATTCTCCACCTATTAAAAACGTATTGTCACTCTCAACTTCACACTGTTCGAGGAATTTTAATAGTAATAAAAGCAACCGGCGTCTGTCCCCGTCTGACTCGCGTGACTCCGCCATCTTAACTAGCGTGAACAAAGAATGCTGCGCGCGCATCTCGCGTACCTCTCCCCCCGCTTTTTCAATTGATCTATTTCAATCATCTATTGAAATTAGAATTAGTGAACAATTTGGAAAGGTTTACCTTGACTTTAGACATAATTTGAGATAAATTATGGAATAAAGTAAGAAGGGAACTGCGAACATATGACAACGCGCCATGTGACAGTGAGCATGTCACTGAGACATGCCTCATTTTCATGTCTCATTTTTTTTCGCCATCAATACATTGATGGCGCGCTTCCGAATGGACTGAAATATTACAAAAGTTTATAGCTACACAGCACTAACTACCAGCAAAAATTTCCGATTTCGTCGAAACGAATATTTTGAAAAAAAAAATAAATCGCAATCTGTCGTTTGAATTTGAATCGTTTGAATTTTGTTAACACACGTGCTAGGGTGAGGTAAGGTTGGGGCTTTTGTTGTCGTGTTCATAACCTCGAAATTAAGTTTGAAATATTGTGAGCGAAAAAGAGATGATTGAGTTCTTTACGGTTCATTTTTCATTGTTCTGAGGGGTAAAAATGGAGGGAGATTCCAGTGATAACGATAATTACTCGATGAAGTGTGACGATGATCCGAACGACAAGGATTTTGACGTTAACGAGTTTGTGAACCAGAGTGGAGACTCTGATGATGACGACAACCAATGTGTGAGTGAACGCAAAACCGTTTTTTCTGATTGATCTAACGAGTTTGTGGATTTTTCGGGGTTTATTTTATTATGGATTTTTTGGGATTTGTTCTCAGGAGGAGGAGGGACAGAACGTCGAGGAAGACGAGGAGGAGAGCGAGGAGACGGTTTACCCTGGAGGGCACAGATTGAACAAAAAGTTCTTCTGCATTCGTTATCCTGGAAATGTTATCAATGCTGACAGAGCTGTGGAGACACTAGGGGGGATTTCAGGGATTTCCACAGTGAGTGGTTAAATTAATAGAAATTTTATTCCATTCATTAATTTACTCATATCAAACGACAACAAAATATGTCCACGGAATTTATTTTAAATTTTCTGCAGAATTTTCACCCAAAATTTTCTCCCAGAGGCACTAATTCTCGAGATGAAGTCACTTATCAAAAAAAATTTCCTTGCTTTTGAAATATTTTGACACTTTACTTATCATTAAAATAATTAATCCTCCAATGATTCCCCAAAAGAATTGTCAGTTTTATTCTATTAATTCATTTATTTACTTTTTCAATTATGAATTGTTTTTTTTATAATTATATTTCATTGTTTTCTACTCAATCTCCACAATCTTGTTGAATAATTCGAAAAGATCTTCAAAAAAATAAGCGGGAAATTGCTCTTCTATTACATAGAATACACTTATTTTTGCTAATAAATTAGCAATTTATATTTAACTTCGACTTAATGGCATTAACCAAACATTTGAAGCTATGATTGAATTCATTTGAAATATCATATTCAAAAATATTCCCGGAATTCTGATTTTCAAAAAATACAAAATTTTTGAAAATTTTCAAAGAAATCAAAATAATGATTATTGCTATCGCGTTCATCGTCGAACTCGGTCAAAAGGACATCCAAACAAATTTTTGAAGGCATTATTCAATTAATTTAGCATATTTTTTTTAGTTATCGTGGAACAAACGGTTTTCTAAAAAAAAAGAAAATTAAAAAACTAATCAAAGGATTAAATTTTATTCTACGGGGAGGTATTGTTGATTTTAGAAAAAAAAAATTTGAACATGAAATATCTCAAAATACCGAACAATTTCGATTGGAGAATGTTTTTAGGGACTCCCCCAATCCCCTAAAAAATTAGCAACCCCCTCGGATGTGTACTTGGAGGTAGTAAGGGAGTAAAAATTTCGTTTTTCGCGATTTTACACAAAAAAAAAGTTTTGAACATGAAACATTCAAAAACACCAAACAATTTCCATTGGTGAATGTTTCTAGAGACTCTCCCTAGAATTGGTATTGTAGGCTCAACAGTACCTACATTTTAGAAAAAAGATTCAACTCCATCCATTCATCAGGGAAAAATTAAAGAAAAACTTTATTACACACGTACACACGTACGGACGAGGTCTAAGAATGGCATTTTCGGACTTTTCGGATCATACTGGGTCGACATAACACAAAAAATCCAAAACTTAAACTTCAACTCTTACAAAGTTTCCATTCAGAATCCAAAATTTCAAAGAAATTAATTCCAGGCGATAACGACATCAAATCGTCGCCTGGAACTTCGATTCCGTCCCTCAGACGGTTTTTGCAAGCCAGCCTGTGGGGATCGTCACCCAGTGTCGGGTTTCCTCCTCAGGATCCGCATAAAGAAGTCCAGAGTAGATCAGATAACAAGAACAAATATAGAGAGCTCATCGCAAGCTCGAGGCCACGAGTCAGCGATGCCAAAGGACCCCTGTAGGCCAGCAATCGAGGACGAGATCGAGGACGTCACGAAGTACCTCCGAAGCTCCTCGATCGACCCAGAGGATGCCCCGAAACAGAACCCATCCCCTGGACAAACTGATCCGAAGAAGAACACTTCGAAATTCGACAAATCAAAGTGCGAGGATCTCTCTGGGGCCCTGGACTATCGCCTCCCCAAGCTGAAGATCCTGGGCAGGGTAGACACAGAGTTCAGGTTCACGAATTTATGCGATTTTCAGTACCTCCCGGTGACGAGGAGCTTGAAGGATCCCAAGGTGAACGAGTGCATCTACGAGAAAATTCATCCTGTGGGGATTCCGCCTTACAAGTGGCTGGAGAACAAGGTCCCTTACTTCTTCCCACCAGCCGTCTTCAGCAGGATGGATACCGTACAGAGTTTCCCGTTGAAAACTGATGTCAAGGAGTCTGGTATGGTTGAATATTTGGTGACGTTCTTCCCCCTGTCCGTTATTTTTCCACGTCATGAAGTGAGAAAAATTGACAATCTTCCCAGGGACCCAAAGTTTTCCTCCAATTTCTCAGAAGTATTCTTGAAATTCACGAAAAAATCATGGTATATCCCTGTAACAAGTTATGGGAATGTTTAATCTCGTCGAAATAAAAATAGGGCAAACAGGCCAATAGCTGGACTCGAGCCAATACCTGGACGATTTCACCTTTTGTTGAATATTCGACAAATAATAGAATAAAAATTGTGCGGATTATTTTCATTATCAATAATAACACTTATGTATAATCATGTGATGAAGTTTTTTTTCGAAATATCAACATTACAGCAAAGAAAAAATTAAATATTCGGGAGGTACAGCGCTGGGTGGCGTGGGGCTGCAATTTGCTAAGTATCAGTGACAAAGTGTCGTGGAGAAATTCACGAAAAAATCATGGTATATCCCTGTTACAAGTTATGGGAATGTTTAATCTCGTCGAAATAAAAATAGGGCAAACAGGCCAATAGCTGGACTCGGGTCAATACCTGGACGATTTCACCTTTTGTTGAATATTCTACAAATTATAGAATAAAAATTGTGCGGATTATTTTCATTATCAATAATAACACTTATGTATAATTATGTGATGAAGTTTTTTTTCGAAATATCAACATTACAGCAAAGAAAAAAATACAATATTCGGGAGGTACAGTGCTGGGTGGCGTGGGGCTGCAATTTGCTAAGTATCAGTGACAAACTCTCGTGGAGAAATTCACGAAAAAATCAGGGTATATCCCTGTAACAAGTTATGGGAATGTTTAATCTCGTCGAAATAAAAATAGGGCAAACAGGCCAATAGCTGGACTCGGGTCAATACCTGGACGATTTCACCTTTTGTTGAATATTCTACAAATTATAGAATAAAAATTGTGCGGATTATTTTCATTATCAATAATAACACTTATGTATAATTATGTGATGAAGTTTTTTTTCGAAATATCAACATTACAGCAAAGAAAAAAATACAATATTCGGGAGGTACAGTGCTGGGTGGCGTGGGGCTGCAATTTGCTAAGTATCAGTGACAAAGTGTCGTGGAGAAAAAAAGTTCTCTTTCGAAAGAGTCAGATGTGGGAAATAGCACAATATTTTCAGGAGAAGAATAACATCCCGAAGATTAAGGATCTATTTGGCGTTGTATTTCTTCACATTCAATTTTGAAAAATTCACAAGATTGTGTAAACTGGATGAAACTTCTATATTCCTCCAGACCGTCCATCTATTGGCCCTGGCGTCCAGTTATTGGGGATTTGGGCGATATTCCATTTTTCCCTCATTTCATTATTCTTCTCTTCATTTTGTCCACTTCAAATTATTGTTTTTCCCTAATTCATATATTCTTTCAGGTCTAGATCTCATTTTTTATTCATTCAGCTACTTTATTGATTTTACATCCTTTAATGAAGTTCAATATTTCCTTAACCGTCCAGCTATTGGCTTGTTTACCCTATAAATTGAATGTCCTTTCATCCAGGTCAAGACACCACAATTGGAAAGACAAGAAAGCGTCGTGCAGGTCTCTCCAACTACATCCACTTCACCACAGCAACGATTCCCACAGGTCCCCCGAGAGGCATCGAGACAGCGATGAAGGTGAAGTTCCTGAACATGAATCACCTCGAGAAGCTGAAGGCCCTCTTCGAGGAGAGGCCGATCTGGTCCAAGAATGCATTAGCCTTCAAGACTAACTACACTAATGAGCAGTTGAGGATTCTCCTCCCATCCTGTGCGTACTACTTCCTGACTGGGCCCTGGAGAATCATGTGGACAAGGCTGGGGTACGATCCGAGGAAGGACCCCTCCGCCAGGAAGTACCAGACCCTGGATTATCGGTTGAAATCCATGCACGGACTGGAGCAGAACGTCAAGGGCAAGAGAACTTACTCGAATTATATTCTTCCTTACAAGTCTGCTAACAGCGCTAAATCTAGGACAGCGGTCCTCAGGACTATGGATCTGGAGGGGGGAGTCGCCAAGGGGACCACCAAGTCTGATAATATTTATATTTATCGTGAGGGGACTATTCCACCTTCGAGACAAATGTTTTATCAGGTAGGCTGAATGATCGCTTAATTGATGACGACAACATTTTATAAATCAATTTGTTAATTTACTGGAGACAATCGAACAAATAGGGGGGAAATTCATTGTTCTATGTATTCTTCTCTCTCGTTGGGTTATGAGGCCCAAAAATATTCCATCGAGTTGTTCACATTCGTAGAGTGGGATGAAAAGAATTGAGGATGGTCTGAAGATGATGAGTAATTTGTAAAGAAGTTTGAAAATACGAGGTGAGTAACAGCTGACAGGCCTGGGCGCCGCCATATTGTTTGCGCACTTCCTCATGTGGCTTGCAAGATGGCGGCGTCCAGAACTGTCAGCTGTTACCCACATCGTATTTTTAAATATTTTTTGGAATTACTTATTTTTTTTAGAATGAGAAAAAAATGATGAAATGTCGTATGACATGAATGAGGGCTGAATGATCACTAACTGAAATATTAATTGATGATGACGACATTTTATAAATCAATTTGTTAATTTGCTGGAGACAATCGAACAAATAGGGGGGAAATTCATTGTTCTAAAATATTCCATTGAGTTGTTTACATTCGTAGAGTGGGATGAACAGAATTGAGGATGGTCTGAAGATGATGAATTAGTTGTAAAGAAGTTTGCAAATACGAGGTGAGTAACAGCTGATAGGCCTAGGGACTGCCATATTGTTTGCGCACTTCCTCACGTGAGATGCAAGATGGCGGCGTCCGAACCGGCCAGCTGTTACCCACCTCGTATTTTTAAAAAAAATTTGGAATTGTTTATTCTTTTTAGAATAAGAAAAAAATTATGAAATGTCATATGATGTGCTGGATTGAAATTATTTTAATAATTATCTAGGATTGCTGGTTAAAGGTAAAATTGTAATTCTGTTTGTTCAGTACTGTGATGTCTTGTCAGAGGAGATACAGGGGATGCTGGATAAACTGCCAGACCCATTACCAGGGACCAAGTGCCACGAGAAAAGAGGATGGCTGCCAGGTGGATTCAGTGATCAATGCAGAGAAATAATAAATCGACAAGTAAAAGCTGTTTTGAGAAAGAAAATGAATATTCCTGAGGATCGTGAGTGCATCCCAACTCTTTTATTCATGATCATGATCTTGAAAATTGGAAATTTGTTAATTAATTTTGATTTCAGACCCAACAACTCTTCCCAGGAAACGAAGAAGCAGGTTGAGTATGAAATTACCCTTTGGAAGAGGTGAGAAACGTCGAAAACTGGTGGAGAAGAAGAACTCTGGGGAAAAGAAAAAATCTAGCAATTCGTCAAACGAGTCTGACCCAGACTGGGAAGACACTTAATCAACAGAATCATCAGCAAATATTAAAAATAATCTCATTAATAAATTTTTCAACTGAATAAAATGAATAAAAACCAAATTTTTGTTTTTTCAACTTTTAATAACGATTGAGATATCAAAAATTGTGATTAATTTATTTAAAAAATAGTCATTTGTAGGTTTCATATAATCTATAGAATTTATATAATTTTTTGTGAAAATTTTTTTCAAGTGGAAGAGATGAATTTTTGACGAAAAAAACTCTGAGTGTTGAAAACTCAATTATTCAATCAAAAATTAATTTTCAAGAGGAAAATAAATTTTAACTACAAAAAGTTCACTTTTCCCTCGAACAAAAAAGGAATTTTCCACAGTAAAAATTTTTTTCTGTCGAGGAAAAAAATTTACAAACGAATTCCACGATTGGTGCTTGCGATATAAGCGAGTAATTCTTGTGAGTCTTCACAAACGAATGGTTTTTCATGGTAACAAGCGACATCGTGCCATGCAATACCATCGTTGTAAACATTATTGAGTACAGACAGGCAGGATTCAGTGGTGCCATTGATGTCGAACTCTGCATTGTCAGGTTGACGCTGCTTCTTATGTCCAGTCTGGGACCATGGGTTGTAGCCCCATCCCGCAGGTGATTGGTTGGTGGGTGCCATCTTCTCGCGATTTGCTGACCAGAACCAGCCGTACAGGGATTTTGGCTCGAGATCGCGACGATTTTCGCAGCCCTTGAAGTCACAGAGACGACCTGAGGTCCAGATGTAGGGTACGTCATCTGGAAAATTCGACATTATGAATCAATTTGTTGAACGAGGAAACCGACGGAGGTGGCTGTATGGTTGGAGTGTGGGATTGGCATGTGGGAGACCCGGGTTTGATTCCCGGTTGGGGGGGGGGGGGGGCAAAATTTGTGACACTCTAAATCTCACGGTTTCATTGTCGAGCGGAAGTCTCGCAAGAGACGACTGTACCTGGGCAGGTTTTTCCCTCAAATGAGGTTTTCCCTTGTCCTTCGATGAATGCGGTCCAGGGGTTTGGGGGGTGGGAAGGGAACAAATCGTAAAGACCCGAAAGGGTATACGAGAAGAAAAAATTTAAAATTGTGGGAGGAGGAATCTTTATTCCACGAATTGGTCGCCCTGGTTGGATCATGAGGCCCAAAAAATATTTCATCGCAATTGTTCACATCCCTAGAATGTGATAGAATAAGGCAATGATGGTCTGAGAAAGATAAATAATTTTTAAAAATGTTTGAAAATACGAGGTGAGTATCAGCTGACAGGCCTAGGCGCCACCATATTGTTTGGATACCTCTACTCATTGCAAGATGGCGGCATCCAGAATAGTCAGCTGTTAGCTACCTCGTATTTTTAAACATTTTTAAGAATTATTTGTTCTTTTTGAAATGAGAAAAAATAATGAAATTATGTGAATGAAGGCTGAATAATCACGAACTGAATGATTTATTGATGGCGACGACATTTTATAAATCCATTTGTTAGTTTGCTGGAGACAATCGAAGAAATAGAAGGGGAAATTCTTGGTTCAATGAATTCTTCTCTCTCGTTGGGTTGTGAGGCCCAGAAACAATTTCATTCTGTTATTTACATTCCTAGAGTGGGATAAAAGAATTGAGGATAGTCTGAAGATGATGAATAATTTTTAAAGATGTTTGAAAATAACGAGGTGAGTATCAGCTGACACGTCTAGGCGTCGCCATCTTGTTTGGATACCCCTCCTCATGTGACTCGCAAAATGGAGGCGTCCAGAACTCAGCTGGAGTCAGCTGTTACCCACCTCGTATTTTTAAAGATTTTTTGCCATTATTTATTCCCTTCAGGATGGGATAAAATAATAGAATATGAATTTACTTTGTTGAATGAGCCTGAAGATCATGTTATTTTCCTCCTGTGTCTCGATTGACACCAGGTCCATGCAGTACTCCCTGCAGATGTTTCGGGCGTCCAACCAGTCAACTTTAGCGTTTGCATGAGCTGGCACATGACTGCTCAGGAAGTAGTTGTGCCCTTTAAAGTTGAATTCCTTCGGCCCTGATGATTAAAAAAACAAATTAAATCTCTGGCTGATTAATTTCGCAATTATATCCACGATGAGATGTCAGGAGTCATATTTTCAATAAAGATAATCTCTCATCAATGCAATAATCAACCGAAAACCCTTGAAAAAAATTCTGAAATTGTCATTTTTCAATCGAATTTGCAATAAAAATGAAGATAAACACTTTGCAACATCGAGACACCCATTAATGACAATTCATCACCCTGTATAGGTCACAGGTTGTCGGCATGTTGCAACATAGATCCATTCTCTCCGTCTCATCGTTAAAAAACGAGAAATAAAAAAAATCAATTACTCAAGAAACTATCCTGACTAATTACTTAATTGCCGTCAAATTAGCGTCAGAAATGCCTCAATAAAATCTATACCATCTCCATAAAAAACCTGATCGATATAAATCATAGGGACATGTTTAAAATAAGTCAATTGAAGAAGAATAAATTAAACAAATTGAAAAAAAAAACGATTAAAAATCATGGAACAACTGTGAGTGGAAGACGTTTAAATTGAAAATGTCAACTGTCTTGTTTTTATATTTTTTTTCCAAACTCATCCATGATTGCCACCGTCAGCAGCTCGAACATCATTGCGAAATTCTGCATCTCCATGCGAGTCTCGAGACCTGAAAAACTCGGTCGGGAGTTTATCCATGACATAATCGAATAATTCAATCAATGTTTTCTTTAATTCAATCTTAATCAACATTGATTGTGGGAATAAAAAAAATATATTTTTTCCAGTGATTTTTACGAGAGGAAGAAAATAGCGAAAAATCTCTAAATAATTGTAGAAAATTTAAATGTAGTAGTAGTAGTAGCAGTAGTAGTAGTGTGTATTTATTGAATATATACGAATTACAAAATTCAAGATGCAAGGGGGATTGGGAATTACATAATATGGATACTTTGCACGTTCCAACAAAGATAAAAATGATTTTTTCACAGCATTTCCGTCTGTTAAAAATAAAGTTAAACTAAAAGTCAAAGGAAATTTGAAATCAGCCAAGAGACAGAAAAAATAAAAAAGATCGAGAATCGAAGATACGAAGTGCAAATATGTAAATGTCGTTCAAACAATCAACATTATTTATGTTCAAGATGTAATTATAATTTTCCCTGGTAGAATAATTGGGCTGGAGCCAGGGTTGGATGTAGTCAGTGCGAAGAGAATATATGCGAAACAGCTCTTAAGTAAATGACAGAAGGTTTCAGGCTCACCCTGTCTGCATCCAAAAATTCACAATTTTTTCCTTTTCACAATTTTTTGAAATTGTTCAAATTAAATGAAAATTCTTTCATCGTAAGAATCATTGCGCATCACTGAGACAGTGATTTCAGACTTCACGTAGATCCTTGTAGATCTCCCTCCGGATAACAAAACCCATGAAAACCTCGAGAAGGAGATAAAAATCCTCTCATTGTCTTCATTGTTAATTTTTCATCAACTCCTCATTTTCTATATTTTCTTTTGTCTAAAAATCCCCCCTGGGCTCGGGCACTCTTGCGATAATGCTTCCGGGTATTGCCGCAATCTCGAATAAAAAGTTTGACCCAATTGACTTAATTGATCGTAAATCTCCTCTCGTCTTCTCAAATCGGTTTAAAAATTTTTTCCTCTCCGAGTAAAAAAAATGAATGGGAAAAATTGAGCTACTCGACAATTTCGAAATCCCGCGTTCTCGAGGGATATTTTTTTCATCAGTGATCATGGTAAATCATCACGTCAGATAATGATCTTCACTAGTGCATTGCGAAATTTCTTTTTTTCTGACAAAAAATCTGTTTTCTGAAATTTATTTATTCATTTTTTTCGATAAGTTGAATCATTGAAATAATTTTTCGTGTCATTTTTTTATTTCTTGTGAATGCATTCATCATCGAATCGTCGATTTACTATGAAAAATAGAGAAGATTGATAAATCGATTTTTTGGTCCATTTTTGACGATTGGAAATGAAAAAAATTATTCTTTTTAAGTCAGAGGGAAAGGTAATCCATGTAAGATCATTAGTGGAGTTGATTGCGGAGTCTGGGACGGTTGTACATCCGTAACTCGGTGCCGTGAACAAAGTCGTAAGGTGAATTACGAAATAATTCTGGATGAGGACGTTTTAAAGCGACTGGAAAAAGGTACGAGAGGGAGTTGTACTGGGAGAATACTAATACTCCCACGGCCCGTGAAAAATACCGGCTATCCATCAGCGTTTCTCTCACGTTTTTATTAAATACCAGGGGAAACTGCCATTTATCCATTGAACCAGAGCTTCAATCGATTTTAAACGATTTCAAATTCAAAAATGTAAAATCTAAAGATTGCGCATTTTCCAATGTAACAAATCATTCAGAAAAAAATTATAAAAAAATACTGATATACAGAAAAAATTATTTTAAAAATACTGATGTAATATACTTCATCGACCTGACATCTCCGAATTTTTTCAGATTTTTCCATTGAAATTGTGCAATAAAAAAAATAGTACATATTCAATCAAATTTTTAATATTATTTTCAACAATAAAACAATTCTTCGAATCCAACGCCAATTTAATGTTGATGCGGACATATAAAAACATCTAAAAACCATGCGTAAACAATGAAAAAATCCGAAAACCCGTAGAATCCGATGACGAAAAAGGTCAAGATTATTTATATTGAAAGTCGTCCCGAATGCAGACTGAAGAAAAAAAGTAATGACACTCGTGACTAGCCTCGTCTCCACAAAACCGCACGATTCGTCATCCCAAAGGTTAAAATATTTATGATTTCCTCCATTTCCATTTTTAATATCAAAAGAATTGAGAAACCGGGGGAATTCCACCTTGAAACAAAAAAGCCCGCGAAGGTGAGAACGAGAAAAAAAAACCAGCGAATCTTCATGTGGACAGTTTTTAGAAAGTTAGTGATGCTCGAAGATGCGATTCACATTGGTAATTTTCGTAAGGCATAATGTGATAATAATTGTTACAAAATAATTGCACGAGAATGAATAAAGTCAAGGGAGATGGATAGGTCAAACGACCATAGAACTTTCACTCTTCAATTGGCCACGAACAAACAACAATTTTTCAGTGGGTAAATAGTTATTTTAATACTTTCTTCTATTGTTCATTGACATCGACGAATAATTTCAGTTGAGTAATGTCTCCTTATTGATGTTTGAATGCAATAAAACGACAACAATCATTCATCATAATTTTATATTTCAAGTCGCATAAGTCTCGTAAGTCTTTACAGGCTTATCAATAACAACTATAAGACATATTAGACACCCTTTCAACCTTTTACGAGTCTCATAAGTCTCTTAAATGGTATGAGACTTATTAATAACAACTGGGAGACGTATTAGACACCCTTTTTAAGAGGTAATAAGTTTCCGAAGTCTTATGAATGCTGTGAGGACTCAAGAATAACCCTTAGGAGACATACGAGAGTTGGGCGCGCGTACATCAGACTAATTCGGTTTGTGAGACTTATTCGCAAGTCCCATCAGTCCCACACAGGTTGTTCAAGAGTTCAATTGATCGGATAATGACTCAAATCTTTACAAGTCCCACAAGCAACTGAAACTTATGAGACTGAGATAAGTCTCATCAATACGTCTATTGCGTCTCGTAACTGCCTTCAATGAGCTTTACGTGGCCAATACACCTCGCAGAGTCCAATTACAAGTCTTAAGAGCGACAATGAGACTTATGAGACTGCGCAAGGAGACATACGAGACCCGATAAGTCTCATCAGTTAGAGAATCAGATCCTATGAGCCTTCTAAATTGGATGGAACTTTTCAGAGACAGTTGAATATAATCATCTAGTCTCATAAGCATTCATGCGACTTGGGGAGAACCGCGGTAGAACGCGGTCTTCGTTGATATCTCCTGACCAAATAGTCCGATTTGAATGAGTGAGGGTTCATTTTACAGCTTGAAAAAATATATTGAGACTGGAAGACAAATAGTAGCTGCGAATTTTTTCTTGACGCATGTAAATATTGACATTCACATGGTCCCAGAATTTACGCTCATGTTTGTACAGGCGAAATTTCATCATTTCTTCCCGCGTCGAAATCAAATTAGAGAAAAAAATCCCTTAATCAAGTGTTCGTCGTTCGGGATTGATGGAGAGACCTTAAATACTTGAATCAACGGTTCAATCGGTTTCGCGTTATGGTAATATGGGTTACGTGAATATACACCGGGTTCGCTTCGTGGTCTGAATTCAATGGGGGGAAAGTGTTACAACACGATGAGAATATTCTTGAGGCGCTTTCGATGGCGTCTGCCATGGGATTTGTTTCATGATTTTTCTGACCTTCAGATATTCAATGTCTCAATCATTATTCAGTGATTATTTATTATAATATTTAATCTCTTATTTTTATCGTCGAGGTCGGCTTTATTTATTTGTTTATAATTTAACGTTTTTAAAATTTATTATTATCACTTTTGTCATCATTGGTATTATTTTTAGCTTCATTCACTGAAGATTTGAATCATCGATTTATTTAATGATGAGATGATGAATTAACCGTCGCGTTTTACATGAAAGGCGTCAAGATTTTTTTTTCGCGTCTTTCAAGCCGATGACACCGATACGAAAGTGTGAAATTCCCGAGGCTATTATTCTCCTCTCCTCCTCAAAGGTGTCATTAGGATAATTAAACGGCGGTTTAGTAGTTATTAACAAAGTGAGAACTAAAACAAAATTTAATTCGTGTCAATCAAATTTTGAATAATCGGAGAAAGCGCCAGGCGATTGCCAGATTTTTTTGTTTATGGTTAATTTATTTCGAATATTTTTCACCTAAAAAAATCGTCATTTTTGATAAAAATATTGCTTTTATTGAAAAATAAAATGATATGTGTTTGTAAAGTAAAGAATTTTTCTGGGGTTTTGAGAGAGTGAAATTTTTTTTTAAAGTGGAATCATTTTTGAAATTGATTTTAAGGAATTTTTTAGAACAAAAACTTACGATTTGCGCATTTTTGGGCAATAGGCAAAGACAGAAATCGTCCGGGCCGATTGGTATGGGGTCTAGCTTCCTTAATAGCAGCATGAACACAAGAGGCAACAGCCAGTACGACCACTAAGGCCAGCTTCATCTGAAATCCCAATTTTCAAAATCCAATATCACCACAAGTTTCATCAACAAGAGAAATCACCACAGAATAAAAACCAAAAAATTACATCACTTTGAATTATGAACAAATGTCAGCAATTATCGAACTCACCTTCGTAGGAACAAAAAAAAAAATATATCGGAAGAGGGGGGGGGAAAAACTCAAGAAGAATGAAATTATTTCTTCTTTGAGAAGAGAACACAAGAGAAAATCCACTCGGAGGAATAATGAGGCGAGGCTTTGGTGAACGTCTGGTTATATAGACGTGCCGTGGGGTACCTCGCGGTGGGGCAGAATGGGCATCATTCATGGGGGCCTTCCCAGTGGGCCGCCTCGGGGCGACAGACGTCCCATGATTTTGATACATAACAGAATGGAGGGAGAATAAAAAAAATTGTTTTCACGACTTCAAAATTTGACAGCTTTATGATTTCGCGACTTCACAGATCGATAACTTCGTTGATATTGTTATTTTATGACTTTATGACGTGACGATCATCGATTTATGCGACTTTACAACTTTAATATTCAATGGATTCGGTCTTTACGACTTGACCACTGGAAAACTTCATGATTTTACGACTTTATAATTTAGAGACTTCATGACTTTATCATTTCATGACTTCACGACTTCAAAACTTTATGGCTTTATGATTTTACATCACAAGCATTGATTATTAGAAAAAATAAATTAAAGAGAGAAAATTTTTATTGAGTCGCTCTCTAATTATTATCCGTAAGGTTAAAAAAAATTGTTTTCAAGACTTCAGGACTTGACGGCTTTATGATATCATGACTTCACAGATTGAAAACTTTATTGATATTGCTATTTTTTGACTTTATGACCTGACGATCATCGATTTATGTGACTTTACAACTTTAACACGGGATCAATTCACTTTTTTTCGACTTGACGACTTGAAAACTTCATGACTGTACGACTTTATGATTTCATGACCTCACGACTTCAAAACTTTATGGCTTTATGATTTTACATCACAAGCATTGATTATTAGAAAAAATAAATTAAAGAGAGAAAATTTTTATTGAGTCGCTCTCTAATTATTATCCGTAAGGTTAAAAAAAATTGTTTTCAAGACTTCAGGACTTGACGGCTTTATGATATCATGACTTCACAGATTGAAAACTTTATTGATATTGCTATTTTTTGACTTGATGACCTGACGATCATGGATTTATGTGACTTTACAACTTTAACACGGGATCAATCCACTTTTTTATGACTTGATGACTTGAAAACTTCATGACTTTACGACTTTAATATTTCATGACTTCACAACTTCAAAACTTTATGGCTTTATGATTTTACATCACAAGCATTGATTATTAGAAAAAATAAATTCAAGAGAGAAAAATTTTGTTGAGTGGCCCTATAATTATTATCCGAAGGGTTTAAAAAAATTGTTTTCACGACTTCACAACTTGACGACTTTATGATTTCACGACTTCATGACTTCAGAACTTCGCTACTTCGAAACTTTATGGCTTTATCATTTTACATCACAAACTTTGACTGTTAGAAAAAATAAATTTGAGGGAGAAAAATTTGAATTACTGTATGTACCCTCAGTGGATGTTAACTTCGTCTCAAGGCTGTAAAAACCTGATTTTTTTAAAGGATTGATTCACCTCTCCGTGATTCCTGAGATGTTTATCAGGTGAGATCTCCGAAATTCGGGGATTATGGTACCTGGCGCCGGGGCCGGCCAACAGGTGACATAACTCCACGTGTATCCTTCTCAGAGATTGTCAGGATTTTCTCGGTTCTGAGTGACTAAAATACCGTTGAAGATTCTCTCTCATATTCTACTGAAATCCCGCGTTTATTTATTTCGTCGGAAAACTGTAAAAATTCAGAGGTTTTATGTGAATTATTTTGAGGATATCGCTGAAACTATCGAGTCTAAAAGAAAAAGTGCAAAAACCTTTTTTAAGGACAATAAAATTCTCTACAAATAATCTCTTCTGACATTTTTTGGTAAATCTCTGCCTCACCCAGATATTCTCCATCGAAAAAAATCCCAATCCATCAATCTAGAAATCCACAAATTGAAAATTGAAGTTTTATGCGAATTAAGTCGTGAATATCTGCGGAAATATTGGGTCTAGAAGAAAACATCATAAAACCTTTCTTATAGAGGATGAAATTCTCTACAAACAGTACATTTTGACATTTTTTTAAATCCCCTTCCTCACCGAAATAATCTCCCATGAACAATATCTTCTCAATCCATCAATCTAAAAATCCACGAATGGAATTTCTCGTTATGATTCTTTCAATTCTGCTCCTTTGTTCACTCCATTAGATGCATCATATCATCATCAGAAAATTCAGAGCAGCCTCGAGGATTCATCCCTCATTCGCATAATTACCCAATGAGGTCAATGAGAGAACGAGCATTCATTATTTCCTACTGAGAATCATCATTTTGCATATCACTTTCACCTCTGCGACAAATACAATAAAAATTCATGAGAGTATCAGATTACTATCTAATCGACTAGATGAAATGCGTGAAATTCTCGTGAAAAAAAAATTCCGATTTTTTTTCGAGAGAAAATAGCAACAACAATTTGTAATTTATAATAAATTTTTCAGTTTCGATAGTTGGCCACCAATTAATTATGAAAACGAATCGACACGTTTGGGTATTTCTCAATTAAAAACGAGGGTCAATGGGACTGATCTTCGAAATAAGGCACGTGACGAATATTCATCTGCGGAGGCACGGCGTCGACCTTGCCATACACGCAAATCTCGTTTCTTCGTTTTCGCAATTGCATTCCCCCCTTTTTTATCCGTCTTAAGGCAACATTGAATTATTCGTCTGTCCTTCTTGGGGCCACCCATAAAGAAAATTAAAGGAAACATTTTTTTCCATTAGGTTTTTTTTTCATTTTTGCTTCCGAATGGAAGCAAATAATGATAGTCCTTTGTACATTGAGAAAAAAAATGCTTTTGCCAAGTATTTACTTGCCACAAGTAAATATTCGCAGAAGGCATGTGTAAATTTTTTGCAGTTAGTAAATATATTTGGACAAAAGCAATTTTTCAATTCATCAATTCAGTAGCGAAGCGGTAAACCGGGTCAAGTCGATTTTGACTTTCGGCCAGTTTTTGATGAATTTCTCGGAATCTAAGAGGGATTGCAAATTTTTTTCATTACCTTTTTTATAACCCTCAATTGGCTCGACAAAAAAGGTCGTGACAAAAATTTTTCCATCTCTTTTAGATTCCGAGATATTCGTCAAAAACTGGCCAATAATGAAAATTTAATTGACCCGGTTTACCGCTTCGCTACTAAATTTTTTCTATTTTTAATTTATTTTTGTTATTTTTTTTTGTTTTTAGCTATTTTTTTGTTCGCCCATGAATGAATGGAATTGAATCTTTTTTTTCAAATGTAGGCATTGTTGAGCTCTATCAATCGCCGTTAATTATAATTTAATTAATCGATTGGTTTTCTTAATTTTCAAATTTTTTCGAAAATCGGTTGTCCCCCGATAACAAAAATAAATGTTCTGAATTGATTGAATGATGGCTTAAAAAATTCTTCAGCATGTCCTTTCGACCCAGTTCGAAGATGAAGGCGATAGCAATAATTGTTATTTTGAATTGTTCAAAAATTTTCAAAAATTGTGTATTCTTTGAAAATCAGAATTCCGGGGATATCTTTGAATATCATGCTTCAAATGAATTCAATCATACACGGAGAGAAATTTTCTAGAAAAATTCTAGTACGAGAACTGGAAAAAATTACAATCCACGGGCTGTGAAAAATTCTAGTGCTGTTAAGGTAAAATTTCTTGGTATTCCTGTAAAACTTCTGGCGATTTCTGTGAAATTTTCACAGAAATGCGAGGAAAAATTCACGTTTTCCATAATAAAATTTCTAGCGCCGGCACTGGAATTTCTTCCTGGCCGTCACTTTGCGCCTCTTTTCCCGTGCTAGCAATAGAATTTTTCTAAAAAATTTCTCTCTGTGTAACTTAAAATCTTTGTTTTAATGCCGTTAAGGCGAAGTTAACAGATGAGTACGATGGCTATATTTCTAATTTTTCATGAATTTCTCTGACAGTGAGCTTTCCGATGGTTTCTTCAACTGTGATGTTTCAAATTCATTTAAGTATGTGTAAATAAAATTTTTCTATTATCATTTTATCGAAGGGCTGAGCGGAGAGTTAGAACCGTAAAAAAGACAATCGGTTGTACAGAAGAAAGGGATAATAAGAGTAATGATAATGATAACATTCAACTAAGTTGAAAATCTGACAAAATTAGTTAAAAAGAAATCTTATTCACTTTAATCAAATGAAATAGACAATGAATTATACATGATGGAAGAAAATGATGCGCAAAATAACCATTCGGAAGTATATTGCTAATTTATCAACAAAAATAACAATAATATGCAATACAAGAGCAATTTCCCACTTGTTAAATTCATTCCTATTTGAATCCTCAAAAATTATCGTCATCTGATAGAACATTTTGTAATAAAATAAATGCTCGATTGTGCCAAGTTGACGTCAGTGAAATTCCCTTCCAGCCTTGATATTTCAATCCCTGGAAATTGGAATTTCGTAATTAATTAACCCTCTAATGACGATTCGTGATAGTTTCACCTTCAGTATATTCTCATCTATCACCTGTCACGCCTCACGATCCCCAAATGAACAAATCATTGAAAAAAAGAACGATTACCGAAATAATGAGGAACAAAAGTGAAACTCTCCTGAAGATTACGTGCAGCATTTTATTCATCATGGATCAAAAGCGCTTTTATCCCTCTCAAAAAGCGCTTTTTACACGATTCATAAGTAATCGATTTACGAGGATACGAGGGACACCTAACAAATCCCCCCTCGATGTAGAGACATGTGATTATTGCCCAATCCCTGACGCCTATCTTGTGACTTGCACGTGATGATCGTACAATCACCCTTCGTTTTTCATTGAAAACATTTTCTTCAACTCCACAATTTTTCTTTTTTTTTATAATATTTTTATTTCGATCTGTTCTTTTCCTTCACAATTTTTCATTCATTTATCAAGTCTTCCCTTCCTGTATTTGAATATAAAAAAATAGATGTAATTAAGTTGAAAAAATCGAGCAAAGAGAAAAATTGAATTGAGAAAATGTAAAAAATCGGGAATTCGATTTTTTTTTTCGTTCCAACTATT